GTTTTTTCTGTCAGGACCAAATCGAGTTGACTTGATATTTCTGCAGCATCAGGAACCTGCTGAGCCTGATGGGACTGAAGAAGAGTTTGTCATCCAAGAGTTTATATTAGTTCTATAGCAAGTAGTACAGCTATTAAATCATGTACTAAAAAGCTTTTTGTATAAGTTTAATATCATTTTTAAAGGGTTGCATACAATCGTGTGAACGTTTTCCTTTTGACATGACTATAAACATTTTAAAATACTTCCACTGTGTTGTTACTCTTTTGCTTTTGAACTTGCACATGTTGGGCTAAAGCATAGAAATATATAATTTTAGGGTTTTGTTTCGTTTTTAAAAGAAAAAAAGATCAACGTTGGACATTTAAAAGAAAAAAAAAACAGAAAATGGTTTAGAATTTAGACTACCACATACACTTCAAACATTATACAGAAACACAGTTGAAAAGGTAAAAAAAAAAAAAGCAAAAGAAATGAAAGGTTTTTATTATTATTATTATTATTATTATTATTATTTATTTATTTATTTATTTTAAAGAATTAAAATGGCTTGAATTAAATTTTGGACTTTCTAAGTTAAGTTTGGTCAGATTAAGGGGGCTCATTGCAACATCTGTCCCTGTCTGTACCTGTAACTCCACTGATCCTGTTTCCACTGTAGGCAGCACACTCATTGGCACTGAGCAGCTCTGGTGCATCTAAAATGTTGCATTATTAATTCAACACATCAACACAACAGATCCCCAAAATTCAGAAGTAGATACCCTTCCTGATATCTGTTTGTTTGTCTTTACCTTACTGTTAAATTTATTGCAGCATATCGGTATCAGGCCTAAGATTACCGCAATCATGATGACGCCTGCCACCATGGCTTTAGCGATGCCTGTAGCAAACACACACAGACACAAACACACACAGACACAAATGAAAAGTGTTGATTTTACTTATTTAATAATCAATATAAATAACTATTATATGTATTTTGTTAATAAAAAATTCTGAAGATTTTTGCAGAACATTTTTTTATTTGGTTGGTAAGAGTCTGACTGACTGACGAGCACAAATCTTAAAACACACTTACCTTCTTTCAGGTTGCGGTTTGACAAAATGGCTGTTTTGTGGTTGCTGCGAGTGCTGACAGTGCAGCTGTAGGTCATATCAGTAAAGTCATGTTTGGTGTCAGGAAATATGACAGAACTCTTAATGTTATAAAGTTCTCTGTTCGGTCCACTCTGCTGGACTATGGTTGTGCTCCTGAAGACGGTTTGACGGCTGGTGGACCAGGTGAGCACAGGTTCGGGGTAGATCCCCTCAGAGCTGCAGGTGATCCTGTTTTCTGCCTTCTCAATGTTGACCTCACGGACTGGAGCTGTCATAAAAAATATACTTTATGAATTATTCACTCTAAAAAATTATTTTGTCTTGAAATGTTTTTTGTTTATAAGACAAAGATTGCTATATATCTTCATGCAAATATATAGTAAAAAATAAGTGTCTTGTGTTTCCTGTATGTTTCTCGCACCGTCCACTTTTAGGCTGATAAATGAATCATTGTTTCCCCCTGTTGCACATTTGTATCTGCCTTCGTCTTGAAGCTCCACTGATGTCAGCTGGAGTGAGGCGTTTCCGTTGGATATCTGGTCTTTGAATAATGATGCCCGGCCTCTAAAGTGCTCATCCTGTTGTGTAAGCTGGTCTTGTTTGGAGTTGTAGGAGAGGATGGAAACATGTCTTGCCTTGAGCAGACTCCAGCTGATAACTGCATCAGTGCTACCTTGGAAACTGCAGGGTAAGATGCAACTTTCCTGGAAAACACAGGACACCTCAGTATCTGCAAAACAAAGAGACACCCAACACAGTTCAACTTAGAGGACATTTCTCCGAAATCCAACAATTAAATTAAAAATAGTTCGTTTTTCCACCAGTAAAACCTGGTGTCTACATTAAACACTATGAAAATACAAAACCAAGCTGGTTGCTTGAATGTAGCTGAAAGCTGAAAGATGTGTCATTCTGGTAGCAACATTACATACTCAACATTTTCCCACGCAGAAAACAAAAGTATGTGACAGCTGGAATGCATGCCGGCACAAAGGTCAAATTCAAAAACTACATTTCTCATGTGATACCATTTTTAAAGTTCACACTAACACAGTAGGTGAATAGGAACTCGGACTTTGTAGCAAATCACTATTCAAAAAAACGTTATCTTAAGTGTTTAAAATTTAGTTACACGTGTCTAAAATGATGCACAAGAGATCAATCACAAGGATTTTCCAAATTTGATAAATAGATAATGATTCTTATAGCTGCTCCCTTTGCTTCTGTCTCGCCATATCCTCACCATCTTCCTTTGAATGTTCTCTCTCTACATCTGTGAACCTTCTCTATGTTCATTCTCTTTTCTTCCTGCCTGGCAGCCTGATATTCAACATCGCTTGTCCAATATACCCACTATCTCTCCTCTACATGTGTCCAAACCATCTCAGACTTGAGTCTCTAACGTCGTGTCAACTAAGCGTCTGATGTACCCTTTTCTTATCTTGTCCATCCGGGTCACTGCCAACAAAAATCTTCAACTGTTCCAGCTCCAGCTTGGTCTTCTGTCTTTTTGTTAGTGTCACATCTCTGAACTATGCATCATAGCAGGTCTCATCTCTTAATGAATGATGCACATACAAAATAACACAATTGCAAAAAAAATAGTCTTTGGGCACCAGTGTTGGTCAAGTTACTTGAAAAAAGTAATCAGTAATTAATTACTGATTACTTCCCCAAAAAAGTAATCCCGTTACTTTACTGATTACTTATTTTCAAAAGTAATTAATTACTTAGTTA